GCGCACGCACACAATAGTTCTGTAAAGGAACCTTCTTTATATTGAAGAAGTTAAAATTTCTCAGAGGTTTCATCTTTGTCTGTCTGCCTCACTGTCTATTTTTCTATCTGCATACCAATCTCTCTCTCTCTCTCTCTCTCTCTCTCTCATGAATTGACTTTTTGTTTTCAGCTGGTCACCTAAGAGACAGAGAAGCAGGAGCAAGTCGCCGGCTGCTTTCAGGCGTATGGGTGATATCTCAGGTGAAAAACCAAGAAAGGAATGTTTTAACTTCCTTCGAGGCAGGTGCTTTCGTGGAGCATCTTGTAAGTTTCTTCACCTAGAACATCCCATGGATGATTCATATAGAAGATACAGAAGCAAAGGGCACCACCACCATGACAATCCCCATGATTCAAGGCAACCCACTTGGTGTGAGGACAACAAGGATGGGGCTAAAGACGTAGTAACTAAAACTGTTCAAGAGGAACATGGGCCCTTTAGTTATGAGCTAGGAAAGCTTGTAGAGGTTAAAAAAGAAGCCCAAGATGGGCCCATGGGGTTCATTGGTTCTGTTCCATCGAGTTCAAACATGGACGAAAACAAGGAAGTTGTGCCTTCTTCCGAGGATGCACAACCTGGTATGACTAGTGAAGAAAACAGTCATTCACAATTTAATGTTATGAATAAAGAAGCTGGGAATTCATTGGGTCTAGAAGAGAAGGTTACCCTAGTGCCAGGATCTCTGGTAACTGAGCAAATGGGAGTGCATCCTTTGACTGAGGAGATTTCTCACAACCCAATTCACCGATTGCAGGATGAGAGTGTTGAACCTCAGACCACCCCCCATGTAGGTGCGCAACCTTCAACAAATGAAACTCTAGTGAACCAGCCTTATCCCTATGATACAAAAGCTCCCCTTCCTGACTCTGAACCAGCTGAGAACAGTATTATCTCTCATCCCCCACCCATAGAAAACTCGGCTCCCCATTCCTTTCCCGTTCAACTCTTTCCACCCTCCTTTCCAAATCAGGTTCAACCGTTTTCTCAACCTTTTCAAGCTCATTCGGCACCTTCTCAGCCATTCATGTCTGATAGTTTCAGGCATCAACCTATACCACCAAAGGATATGCACCAACCTAATTTTTCATCAGGGAACTTCCAATTTCAACCTCCCTCTACAGGCCCTAACCAGTCATTCCACTCCAATGGGTTTATTCAGCCACCTCAAGTTATCCTCTCTCAACCCCAACCTGAGAAATTCCGTTTGCGTCAATCCCCAATTGATGACCAAAACACCCCTGTGAAGTCTCGAAATGATGCCCCCCTTCCTTATGGGCCTGAATCCCTGCTTCCCAAGCCCCCCATGCTTGCAACTGAATTTCACTCTACACATTATAACCCTAATCCTTCTCAAGAATTTCACCCTCGACCCTTTGCACCCCAGCAATCATTACAACCAATTGATGAATTTCGTCAGGGGTCCATGGAGAATCCAAGAGACCCATTGTTCATCGGCCAGAATTTCATCAGAGAAGATCCTAGAAGCCTTCATCGAGAAGAGCGATTCCCATATTCAGCAATGCATGAAGTGGGGCCCCAACGACAAGAATATTATGCCCCCCCACCTTGGGTAAGGGAAGATATGCAGCGCCCGCGGCATGCATTAAAGGATGAGGGGCACTTGTCTAACCCTGGGTTTGATCCTCGATTACCTGGTCATGGGTATACTTCACAAAGTAACACAAGGGACATCTGGCCACCAAGCTCCTCTAGAGATGCCCAAGCCCAAGTACTGCCTCCTGCCCCTCTTCATAGGGATGGTTTGCCATTGCGACCCTTCTCCAGAGAAGGTTTGGATGGTCCTCCCCTTAGAGAATACTTGTATTCTCAGCAGAACCAGCCAACCTTAGTTGGTGAATTCTCATCATCATTTCGTTCTCATTCTACCCACTATAACCCTTATGCATCTACTTTTGATCGCTCCTTACCTCCTTATCCAAGAAGAGAAATTGACATGGGTCCTGGTCCCTCTAAAACTAGTTCCACTTTGTTTGAGCCGCCTTCTGGGTTCGATTCACTTGTGTCCAGGCCATTTGCATCCTCTGCTTTGGTGCCTCCAGTGCACTCTGGTGATGTGAAGGAATACTCATACCCCTTAAAAGAGCCATTAAGGGACTCTTTAGGGGGTGACCAATATGACCCTCTATTTGATAGCATTGAGCCTCCCACTGATTCTTTCACAAACTTGAACCGATCCCAAGAGAGGGAAACTAGTGCTGAGGCCGTTGCTAGGTCTAGAGCCAAATTAGATCGGCCTCAAGAGAGAGAAACTAGTGGAGAAGTCATTGCTCAGTCTATGACCAACCAAAGTACCAGCCCATTACCAGACTTGAATTTGAGGATGAGTACCCATCACAGGCCTCTTGATGTAGAGGAGAATAATAAACAAAAAGAGGGTGAGGCGATGGTTTTTAAGCCTCAAATCGATGCTGAAGAGTTTGGGGACGCTGCTTTGGATGCAGAGGTGGGTGTTGTGGAAAACGTGAGCCCAAACCATGCTGTAATTGACCAAGGGAATGCAGGTGCGGGTGAGATAGAGATAGACCAGAATGTCAAATCGCCAGGAAAGAGTAATAAGAAGGAAGCAAGGGCAATGAAGCTTTTTAGGATAGCTTTGGCTGAGTTTGTAAAGGATATATTGAAGCCTTCATGGCGGGAAGGAAACATGAGCAAGGAGGCCTTTAAGACTATTGTGAAGAAGACGGTTGATAAGGTTTCTGGAGCGATGAAGAGCCACCAGATCCCCAAGACACAGGCAAAGATTGAGCAGTATGTGGCATCTTCACAACGGAAGTTGACAAAATTAGTCATGGTACGTGCTGTTCTTGTTTCAATTATTTACATTTGGTTCTCATGAGCTAAGAGTGGCATCTTATCTAGAAAGGGACGTAAAAAGTGGTAATATTTGTCTTCTCATGATTGAGTCTGATTCAACTGCACAACTCTCTCTTTCTCTCTCTCTCTCTCTCTCTCTCTCACACACACACACACATAGACCCATGGAAAGGGGGAATACTTTGAATATCCTTGTTTATCATGTTACACCATAGCAAACCAAATTTCAAAAAGATATTATACCAAGTCTCATGTGGTTATGCATTTTGGTCAACTATAGAAACGGGTGTTACAGTTTTAATTATATTCTTATATTTGGTGGTCGGTCCCATTTTTGTTTGCAGGGCTATGTGGACAAGTATGTCAAGGTTTAGGCTTCGCTATGTGCCCTTTTCCTGGGAACATTGCAAGATGGTGAGGTTATCTTCCTGTTTATGCAGTTAGAAATTTATCTTTTATCTTTGGTGCACTAATTATGAGGTTATATGGCTTTTCTTTTGGGGGAATATTGAATGTATCAATGCTTTGGTTGCAGAGGGCTTCAAGAGTTTGCATTGGGGAAGAAACTGTTAAATATTGGTTCTCTTGAAGGTTTTTGAGCAGTTTCAGTTAGCCATTTATGAGTTTCGAGAAAACTCGACTTGTATGTAATACCAGTTCTTGATGATGCTACTCTTTTTGACTCTGCCCAATGAATACATATTTTCAATTTGTAAAAAAATCTATGCAGAAAAAAAGAAGAGTAAAGAGAGTTATGGCGCTGTGCATGTATCCTACAGCGAGAGTATGCTTGTCTTTTTAACTCTGCCTAACGAATTACACCCATTTTTATTTGTAAAATATACGGGCCTGACTTGAAAAGAAAAAGAGGACCTTATTTGGCACTGTATATGCTTTCAGCAACAGCAATTACCATGAGTGGGCCCTTGTATTTGTTCCCATACAAGGTTTAAAAGCTAGAGTTCTAGATGGAGTTGCTCGATTTTTTTAACATTATTTAGCTTGAACAATACTTTGCACAATCTCAGACTCGGGCCAATTACTCGGCTGGGGCCTGGGCCGAGTACACAGCCTGAGTCATTCAATTGAACACTGGTTGCTGTGTGCGTGGATAAAACACTGGTCCCATGGGTTTTGCCCCTTGCTTGCCTTTGATAAAAGCGGCCTAGAGATGAGCAAAACTCTTACTGTTACGTAATTATCAGTTTCTACATGCGTATGTGAGAAAGAGACCTGATGTCATGGTAACTTTCGTTCCCAGAGAGAGAGCTAATGTCATAGTGACTTTTGTCCTCCCTGTGTATGCGCACTGTGTTCGTGGTAGAGAGAGAGAGTAGCTGAGACGGAGAGAGAAAGAGCTAGTTTCCCAGTATATTGGGCTAATCGAAATATTCAGCTTTTAAGCTAGTTTTGGTGGTTCAATTCTTTAGTGGTAGATGGAGAGAGAGAGAGAGAGGAGGGGGAGGGGGGGGGGGTTAGGTTGGGAAGTGTACAAGAGAAGTCTTTTCCATATAGAAACAAAGAGAAGTGCGTATCATCCTCTCTCTCTCTCTCTCATCTTATCTGCATCCCCATTCCCTCAATGCGAATCCAATTGACTTGTAGGAGGGTCATGGTCCCCCTAGATTGCAATAAATTTAAAGCAGAATTTTAACAGGATTCTTTATAAGTGCTCAAAACACAACAAAAGGTTAACAAGGTTTTCCATCGCAAAACACGATTAAATATCCATTCCCTAACACAATTGAATCTTCTTCACCATCTCCATGTTTCAAAATGCATATAATTACATAAAAATCCTCGAGAAGAAAAGTGCGGGAACTAGAAAGAAAACTACCAGAAAAAGATAAAAACCTTTGATACATTGTTTCCGTTACAAGGTAAATAAAAATACTACAATCTCAGCAAGTAAATAGAAAACAAATGTGGTACAAGAGATTACAAAACCCCAAAACCAGCAGCTGAAACCTGAATGAGTCGCTCTTCGAGCTCAACTTATTTCCTCACAAATATGAATGCACTCCCAAGTTTTATCCTTTTTCAAATAATGGGGTCTTAAGACCACAAATCGTACTCAAAGGACTACTCTGGGTATCTCCTCTTGCGTGTATAGTAGTATCTCTGGGTGGCAAATGGATGAATGGATGGATGGAAGGATGGAGTGAAAGATAGATGGCTCCGTGATGGAAGGTGGGATGGATGGAAGGACTGTGGTTGGTTCATTGTGGGTGGATCGATGTATGGTGGATAAAATATGGTGGATTGATTAAACGATGGATTGCTGGTGGGTGGGTTGATGGATGGATGGTGATATGGCTGAATTAAACGACTGTCGGTGAATGGTTCTGTGAATGTGAATCGATGGCCAGAAGATGGATGGGTTGATGTGGATGACTGATGGTTCGATGCATTGTTCATTTGATTGTTGGATGATGCATTTATGGATGAATGATATGATGATGTAAAGGTGGATGTCGACGCTAAATGGTTTGATCTATTACTGCATCGATGGTTGGATGACGTATTGATGGATGGATGGTCCCATGATGAATTGGTGGATGGTTTAATGGATGGATGGCTTGATGAGGGATAGGTGGATGGCTTAGTGGATGTATGGATGGATGATGGACGAGCAGATGGATAGGTGGTGGATGTATCGAGAATTTGCTTATAAAAGCTCCAATCGGGATGGCCAGGTGTAATAGGAGGCTGACCAAAAGGGTGTTCTCTAACGTACTCTTGCACATCACTTGCCATAGCTAATCCTTCAAGAAAAACTCGAAGATGTCCTCCCTCACCTGTTAATATGCAGCAACATTCACACTTTCTAAATTGAACATTTTATAAAGGAAGTTCTGCTTGTTAAATGAAACAAAAGATCATCTATCTGAAAAGTAGAGACAGAATAAGATTATAAGAGCTTTGTGATATGGAGAAATGTTTCTCACCTAAAGCAGTATCATTTTCATCCGTGAATTTGTATGGATGAGGAAAAATTGAAGAGTTGGGCTGCATAAGAAAATATAGTATTTAGAATGATTGCATCTAAGAGACAAGGACAAAAATCATAACAGGAGCAATATGCACAAACAAGCACACCAAACTTACTCACGTACCATGTTTTTGCTACAAATTCCCATGTACTTGGATGGGATTTCTCTCTCTCTCTACAAAAATATATATATAGAAAATAATGAGATTAGCCCACTAGCTCATATGAACATATGTGTTCATATGAGCCCAACGACCCAGATCAATCTGGGCTGATCTGACAGTCATGATCTCATTTCGTATTTTAATTTTAATTTTTCTTTACAAATCTAAATAATTTGAAAGTTTAGACCTGTATTTTTCAAAAATAGGAGAATCTAATAAAAATAGCAAAAAAATAATTTGTAAGAATAAATTGACCAAAATACCCCTAAAATGTTTCGAGGGTATTTTTGGTCAATTTATTTTTA